GACCTCTCTAATGATGATAGGGAAGCAAGAGATATGGTGTCCATGGGATGGAGGGGGATGCCCAGCTTCCCTACCATGACCAGCATTGTTTGTACACAGCCTGCAGTAGCACAGCAGGCAGGCGCTCCAGCAGGTCTTTTCCACCTCCTTAGAAGCAATAGAATGTGACAGCCTATTTGGACTGGTGAAATGTCACAAGCTCAAAAGAAAAGAAATTGGGATAACTGTCTCTTTCAAAAAATTCTGAAACCAACCCAGACCATGCGAGGCTGGGGACAAAATCCCAAGAGCCAATGGCATAGCTTCAATGTTAAGCAAAATATAAGTGGTTTTTTTGGTAGGAGTCTCCACTGCTTTTAGGTGACTCAGTGCCAGAAACTGACTCATGTCAAAACAGCATTACAGCCAGACAAAGAAACTGTGTAATACACCACCAGGCTCTCGCTCTGATAATGCTCTCATGGAAGGAGTGTTTAACTCTGCCCTGAACTGCAGCAAAGCTTATCACCAAGAGCAGTGACGTACTGGTCACTTCGTTAATCTAAGCAAAGGGGAGTGAGGCTGGAAATGTTTATATGTGATTTCCCTCTGCTGAGGAAGGAGATAAGAATAACTATGACAACACACCTAAAACATTTGTTGAATGCTTCATTCTAAAATGAAGCATACAAAAAAGAGAAGGCAGTGCCTGAATGGGGGAGGGGAGTTGAGGGAAAATCCTTGTATATGCCTTCCCAGAAAAATCAATATTGCAGCTAAAATAGTTTAAGATGCCTGAAAACTTTGGATTGCCAAGTGGCAGCAGGGCTACTTTTGGGTAGGAGCAAGTTCAAACCTCTGGAAAATAGGCCTCTTTCAGGAACACAAGAACCTGAGGATCCTCAAAACATGAATTTACATTTTGAAAAAAAAAAGCAACTCTGATCTCAGTGGCAGTAATTTAAAGTTCATGAAATATTGTCTCTGAACAAGCACATTTCAGGAAATTTTTATAATTTCCTTCTGAGCTGCCTGTGAAATAGGCTAAGAAACAAATTCATCAAACCATGTGAGGTGCCTGGAAGTAAACACAGCAGGTTGACTGAAGTGATAGTAAGGACATCCACAGTGTGTCATACATTTGATTTTGCAGGTGCCACTGCTACACATCAATGCAAACTTCCCGTGTCATCAATGCAACTCCAGGAGCTGTGTTCTGCACCAGGATGAGGGTTTCCACCAGTCCAGCCAAGAAGAGCCCTTCTTCAGGCTGGGAAATGAGGCCACAAGCCATTGCTGATCCTGTTGTTGAGAGGGTGTGGAGCAGGGCTAACCCATCTTCTGCTCTGCCAAATCTGTGTGAGACCCTGAATTGTTCCTGGCTTGTGCTCCAGGGCTGCCCCACATGAATAACCCCAATCTGTGCAGGCTTACTCATGGGCTTAGGTGAACAGCCAAGATCTGTGTTTACTTTTTTGGGACATGGCAAAGGCATCTAATTGTACCCACAGTGTGTTTCAGCACAGAACTATTTAACGCTTGTGTTACAGAGCCTAAAGCATGATTTGCTCCTTGTGGCTCCTAAAATCTGCAATGTAGCCCTGCCAATGAAAACACGGACACTTGGCTATGCAAGGAAACAGCTCACTCAGCAAAAATGGCCTGTTGTTTTATTTGTGATGAAAAGCAGAAAAACATCCACTACCCACAGAAATGCTGTTCCATTTTGTTCATGAAAGTGGCAATTTAGAATTAAAGGCAGCTGAATTACATGGGCAACATGGGAAGAATTTGTTTTATGTGGGAGCTGCTGCACATACATAACTTTGCCATAAGACTTCCATACTGATTATGGTATGACATGGGTCACCTTGCTCTAACCAGGTATGGGTATAATCTGCGAGTCAAGTGGCATACTCATTTTATCTGCAGTGCTTTGCACAAGTACTCATAAACCATCCACTGCTATAAAGCAGCTGTTCTAATGACCTTAGTAATTGCTGTAGACTATGTAGACTATGTCCCCAGATTGTATGGGCATGTAAAACAGAGAAAAAGGACATAAAGACCTGAATACTATCTTCACTGTTTTGTCTTGTTGGCTTTTGGTGTTTTGATTTTTCTTTTTTTTTGTTTGTTTGGGGGTTTTTTTGGGGGGAAAGGGGCTGTCTTGTTTGAAGCTTTGTTGTTGTTGCTTTGTTTTTTAAAGTATCATGGATTTATTTGCATTTGTATGCAGTTTCACTTAAGAGAAAATCCTGGGTGACTGCTTCATGATATAGGAATGGCTAGGTATTTGGTGTGTGTCACCTGTAATGTGTTCCACCTAAGGAAGTTAATACTCGTGTTGTTGTATGTACAATGAGACTGGGCAATAGTTTGATATTAAAGTAGGGAAGTTTTCTGGAGACAAGCTGAGTCAGATACATCGCTGTTCAGACACACATAAACTGTCAGTCAATAGTCTGTGAACTGGAGGAGAAATATCTTCTGATATCAAGATGTTTAGGAAAGATACAGTATGTTGGGATGAGGGAGGCAGCCTTTGGCTGAATAGGAGGTCCATGGGTTCATTCACTCCCCTTGCTACCATTTTTGTGTATTTTCATATCATGTGGGGAGGCTACAGCCACAATAGCTACACAGTATATCCCTTGTACAGCACAGGCAGCAGTGTCAAATATTACTTATTTAGGCCTCACAGCATCTATTTGCTTTAGATAAATTCTCTGAAACTATGGCTTGCTTCCTATTGCCTTGGCATGACTACTTGTCCCTGCAGGAAGGAGCAAACTTTGTGCTCAGTAAGTTGGGGGTGGGAGCTGATCTTTGCAGAAGATGCATGGTAATGGTTCGATGGGATATGGTTTTCTTTTTCCCAGGTCTTGCCACTTCTTCACAGACTCTTGTACTCTTTCTAGCAGTGCTAGCAGTGTTATCCGGCCCAGGGTTTAAAAAAATCACAAATGAGACATTTCCCCAAATAAAAACATGGGCAATAGATTAGATTAGATGTAATAAATGCGAAGGTCATTTTTCCTCAGTACTAAAAAAATACTATGTCCAGGTTTGAGCATGGCACTTCAAGAAAGATGTGAAAAAATGGAGAAAGAGGACAGTCTTGATAATCAGTGGTCTTGAAAATATGACTTGTGCTGAAAAAGTGAGGAAGAAAACCATTGTGCTCCACTTCCATGGCAGATAGAACAAAAAGAAATTGTTTTAAATTGCAGTAGAGGACAGTTTAATCTAGGTATTAGAAAGCAGTTTGTTACAGCAGGTCTGCTGTAGGCTTGGGAGTGGATTGTCTGGGCACAGGGATTGTCTGTAGTGTGAAAGATGCTCACAAGCAGCTCAGACAAGCAGTAATCAGAAATGACATGGACATAGCTAACCTGACCCTGAATACATCTGACTGACTACAAGTGAACTTGGCTGTTCAACTGGGAAGGGGCTGGGCCATTTATAACAAGAGGGATGTGGTTTCAGGTTTTCAGCAAGAAGAGAGATCCCGCGTGGTCAGCCAGGATTGCATACATCCATTGTGTATATCCAGGCTGGCCTGGGCTCAGAGCCTTCCCAGCTTCTGCAATTCCTGTGTCAGCAGAAAGGCAGCCTGGTTCACGGGACGCACCTCTTCCTATTGAGGAAGGGCACGGAAGCTGCTGTTTTCCTGCCTGATATTTCCTTTGGCATGTCGTGGGTTTTTCTGCAAGCGAATTGCGTGCAGTAGTTTGTACTACAGTATGCAAGGCTGTCCATGGAAAGTATTTTCATTTAAACTAATAATGTGGAGCTTCTGTGTGAGCTGACACTCACTTTTAATTAGTGTTGGCCAATTTTCCTCCATGATGAAGCAAGACTAACCTGCTCTGCAACTCAGGAGTCAGCAAGAGGATAAGAGAACTCCTTGGGATGCCATCTAATGAACTGACCATCAGACTACCCTTTTGAGAAGAACCCCAGGTGGTCTGAGATGAGATGGAGAGTCCTGCTCCTTCCTCCCTATCCTCCTGCCCCTGAGGTGTGGAAAGGAAGGATTAAAATAATACCTGTGTATGGCAACCACTTCTGCAGCCTGTTCGGACCCTCATATCCTTCAGAGCTGCCTTCCCATGTGAACTCTAGGGTGACCAGGGAATACAGAACATAAAATTTCTGGGATAGGGCAGATATGAAATATCCATGGAGATAAATTCTGCATAATTCATTTTGATTCTTACCCCCATGAAGTCCCTCTCAAGCACCAGGTGAACACTGAGCAAGGTGACAAATGAGAAGAGCTGAGTGACCTGTGGTGTCCTGCACCCACTTCTGAGTCTGGTCATGCATCCTTTGTTTAAATTTTCTCCTCACCGCCTGCAGTGTGTGTCTAAACTTAGCTCTCAGCCACAGAAGATCTCAGGTAGGCCACCAGCATCATTTAATTCAAAAGAAAGACTATTTCCTGTACAGACTGGTGCTCAAAATATCGTCAGAGGAAGATGAAACAATTTACTCATCAATTCCTGGTCACCATATTATAAAGAAAATACTATGGCACCAGACAGATTCAGGAAATAATTGGGAATGGTAATTTGAAAACTAAGACATGAAGCTTGTGAGGGTAATATAGAGATCCAAATGAAAAAATTTAAAAAATAGAGAGAAATGGGTTTTCTTAAAAGAATTCTAAATTAATTTCAGCTGTATATTGTACTTTCATTCCATCACAGCTAAGTACAAGTGAAAATAAAGTGAAAAAAATTGAGGGCAGTGTCAAGAAGCACTTCCTTACATGAGCAGTAATTGGAGAGCAAGGTGACCTGTGAGACAATGTCATGAGAGAAAAACATTAGTGTAATTAAAAAATCACTTAGATGCACTACAAGGAGAAAGGATGAATGAACTTTTGGCACAAAACGTCTCTCCCAGCCCCTCGTCCGGCCCACCAGAAACGTGCTTGGACTCACAGAGTCACTTTGGTTGGAACCAAGTCCTATTGCAACACACAGCAGAGCACAAATGACTTTGCTGCGGCTTCCGATTGCACTGGGTATGTTACCATCGATGGAGCGGGACAGAGGTCAGTCATTTCTCATCTTGGATAGTTTTCTGAAAAGCATTCCCATGCAGTCTGTGGGCAGAGGACCTCTCAAGCCATCTTATTGGAGAGAGGTCAATATCAGCCCCATCCTTGACCCTGCCGGGGTGGAGTGGATGGGGGAGAAGGGATGAAGCCACACCAGTCCTTACTGCTGAATCACCAGTGATGGGAAAGCTGCTGGTTTCAGGGGCAGACTGTTTTAGATAGAATGTTTTAATAGAATGTTTGCTCTCCTCTGATTCATGCAAGCAGTGAATTAAACTCCTCTCCCAGGCAAAAGGGACCTGTCCTGCAGAGGGGCACTGCATCCTCTGCCTGGGGGCTGGGGAGAGTGGGAGGATGTCCCTCCTGCCGCTGGACAGACACACAAACACACACACACACACACAGTGCACACAAAGGGCTCTTAGTAAACACATCCTGGCTCCCAGCTGGTTTCCCAGCACTGTCACCCTGAATACGGCTCCTGGACCCATTTTGTCACCTTTGCTCTCACTGAAGCTTTTACAACGTGTTGGGCTTTTACTGTACACAGTTGCTTTCCTGCGAGCCCTTCAAATCATGAGGATTAAATTGCACCGGTATGGAAACCAAGGGAACATTTATCACTGACAAAAGGCGGCAAGAATTTTTCTAAATCAGAGATTTTCTTACAGTAGAACTTTTGTTAGTGGAGCAGATCTATAATAATATCACTACTGTTTCAGTATTTTTATTACAGTGCTGCTGGGAAGAGCAGCTCTTTTAATACAAATGCTGTCATTTAGAATTGCTGCTATGGTAGAAATCTTAAATTAAGCACTGTCCTTTATACAAAATACAGCACCACCTGCTTGAACACAGAGCTGATAAAACACTATATTTTTTTTCCATGTGTCACATCAAATTATCTAGCAATATAAAAGAAATGGAAGTACACAAAAGTCAGGGCTTTTTTTTCTGAAACGGCTTCACCTGTATCTTCTCCTTACAAGCACAATGTGCTGGGTGGGGGGCAGAGATAGACTGAACAGGCTCTTCAGAGAAAATTCTTTCAAAATGACCAATTTTTATGTCAAAACTACATTCAGAACCATAGCTCTGGTGTTCTTTTAGCTCAGATCCATAATATGTCCCCAGCTGCACAAAATGTGTGTGTATTCACAGGTGTGGGAAAAGGACTTCCAGTACCGCTGTACTATGAAATTCTCCTATCTAAGTGAAAAGTTCATTTGCAGTATGGCTTATAGCAGCTTCTCTAATAAATAAATTACTGGTTGATACAGCTAAATCAATCTGCTGAGGTTTTTTTAATTTGTTTTTTGCTGTTGTTGTTTTTCTGTGTGGTAGTGAAATGCTGTTGTTTCAGCAGTAGACAAGGAATTGGGGAATATTTCATCAGCTTGCCAGGCTGGCCAGGGGGTCCTGTTGCCAGGATTAAAGCTGCTTGGAAAGGAAGCACTGCAACAAGGATGGTTGAGGCAAGCCCCAAACTCAGACTAATATATGGCAGGGGTAGAGCTTGGCTGTGCACCCCCAAGCCAGAGAGGAGCCCCAGGTGTGCCGATGGAGGCTGAAGCACAAACAGAGGCAGGATCTAATCCCCTCACGTCTGCTGTGAGTAACCTCAGAGCCAGGGCACTCCTCATGTTGCTGTCAGAGGTTGTCCTCTGCACTCCAGGTCACGAGAGTTCAGGCTGGGAAAAATACAAACCACAACCCCAAGTCTTGTGCCTGAGTGTCTTTGAACTATTTTTGAGGCCCTCTTGCCACCTATAGATTATTCCAGCAAAGGAAATATGCCTGTGACACATTCCCAACCATTACACCATTACCTAGTATTTATTCTTCTGCATGTCAAATAATTGGCAGTGTACTGATGACAGTCATTTCTTCCATGGGGCAGCATGCATTGAGGCTCCTGTGATGGGATATATAAAGCTTGACTTAGATCCAGAGAATTTTGAAGGAGGTGCTGACAATACACTCATTAATTCACAATTACGTTCCTTCAGAGAACCTCCTGGCACTTTCTAAATACTGTTTAGAGCACATGCTTCTTTTATGAGACAAGTATTGTGACTATGGAAGTCAAAAAAACAAGGACAAAGAGGTTTAAATAACTTGTCCAGAGTCCTACAGGAAGGCACTACCAAGAGGTTTCCATAGAAATTAGCCCTATGCTAGAACCATCTGTTCACAATGGCTTGAATTTTTTGGGATTTATTTATATTTGACAGAATTGTAATTTTTCTGTTACTTTAGGTGTCTGCTTCTTGGGAGAAAGCAGAGATTTGGTAGTTGCTAATGATTCCTTAGTTACTATGAGATGAACGAGAGGTTGACACTAGGAGGTGACAAAATGGAGTTGCCATTCCAAATCAAACCCCAGTCCAGAAAAGTCTTTCAAAATTCTGAGTTTTCCTCGCTGAAGCCACTGAAGTTCTCAGAAGAGATAAAGGATGTACATACATCCCTGCAGGGTCTGATCACAGTCTCTGTTTGAGGGTGTGCCTTGTAACGCCCCGTCTACTGGAAGTGCAAGAAGCTCAGTGACCTCTAAAGACTGCAAAGGCTCCAGTCAGTTCTCTCAAATGTGGCATTAGGATCATGTTCATTGTGGTAACAATGCCCATAGATCTGGTATCCATCAGGGCTTTTGTCCCCACCATGTTAGGCTGGTTTGAGTCCTGCTCCTTCCCACACTCATTGCTCTGTGAACTTGCTTTCTGTTGCAGTTCTGTATTTCATCTGACAGATAAACCCTTCCTCTATGGTTTTGAGAGGAAAAGAGGCAACTCCCATCATTTCATTGCCCTCCAGCATGGAAAGAGACTGACAAAATTCAACAACCTTTGATATTCAATGCTGTATATCAACATTTTCATTTATAGAAAAAAAGGTTGTGCTTTAACAAACCCCTGCCACTGTATTTCTGAAGATTGTGGTGATTTTGTTGAGAGATAAACATGAAGAGGCTTTTAAAGCGAAGTCACATTACTTGAGGATTGTGCCCATCCTGGCACATGATATTGAGCAGGTCTTGGTAAAATGATCATTGACTTGGTAAGGCCTTTGAGGCAAGTTCTGTCTATTAGGGCATGGAGAGACATCCCTGACTAGTTTTTATTTTTGTGTCGTACAAGGTTAAACAATAGTTCATTTTTTCTCACTGATACCTTATGCTGAATTTGCACTGATAACAATTTCTACATTTGCAGATTAAATGAGATCTGTTAAAACTACTTGGCTGGCAATATAAGGATTGTGTTTGCAAGGATCACTTGTGGTCAGACATTCAGAGGCTGTTGGTCCATTCTGCCATGAGTAATATATTCCAGTGAGCAGCTGTACTGGAGCAGCAAGGCTAGGGTCCCTAGCAAGGAAGAAAGAAAGCTGTGTAAATGAACTATACCTTGTGAGCCAAAAGGCTAGGAAATCTTACCACAACTCTGCAAACCTTCTGTGAATTTTGATTTTCTTTAAAAATTCAAAACACTAGTTATTAGAGTTAAAATTTTTTACTTGCTTCAACTGTGAATTAAAGCATTTTCTTATCAGAAATAATTAGTTTTAATTGTTCTTCTTTTCTTGTAGCCTTATCTCATGGAATATGTTGTCATTATGAGATCAAAAAGCTCATTTTTCTCAGGGAAGCCTGGATTCCAGGACATATTGAAAACCTGATTGTAAACTGAATATTTGGCAATAGTAAGAAAGCAGGGTATCTTTTGTTTGAAAGACAATCTTGCAGATCTACCCTAGATAAAACCAATTGTCTGCTTTACAGGTATCTGGCAGATGTGAGGTCAGCTTTGGCTGATTCAAGACATATAGGTATTTCTTCTCTTTTTTTTTTTTTTTTTTTTTTTTTTTAGCAGTTTTTTCTCATAAACAGAACTTCATAAGACTGGAACAGCCCTCTACTTCTGTGTGGTTGCTCTGTTTTCCTCTAAGCAAATTCTTCACATGCCCAGAAGGAATCTTGTTTCCAACATCTGGGAGTACTTTAGAGGCGTTCATTATTTATATGCCAAGATAATATCTTTTGCCCATGAATGTGCTACTGTTCCCATTGATTAGATGTTTGCTGATTACTGCCAACTGCAGCGGCAGGGGTAGCATGGAAGCTATTCCCCAGTCCTCACTTTACATCACAAACTATGGGTCTCCAAACGCTCATCTGACCTTCAGGAATTCATTAAATTTAGGCTGCTACTGACTTGGGAAGGCTATAAAGTGAGGAGTTACAGGGGAAAAAGAAAAAATGCTGGCATTTAAAATTAAGATTAAAGACACACCAAAAGGAAACTGTAGGAAACAGCGATTTAAATGAAGGGGAAAAAAGAAAATAAGACAGGCTGTAGAATGAGAAAGGACAATTTCTTAATCATATCTTTGATAACTAGGAGTTGCCTAGCTTGTCCCAGAGCAAGCTAGGAGTGAAAAGAGCCCTTGCAAAGGCCCATGAACTCAGCTCCTCAGGGTTCCCAGGGCTCTCCCCAGCCTCTTGTCCATCCTCACAGCCTCTGCCCAGACCTGGCCCTTGACTTTAAAGTGCTGGTCTCAGCAGAGACAAAAGTAAAACAGAGAGAGGAAAATGCTGAGAGGGCCAAAAACTTCCACTCAAAGAGCAGCTCTGAAACCATAGCAGGAAGTTCTGCAATAAAATGAATGCATGTATTCAAAACAAGGGAAAAAGTATGGTTTCCCTATTATTTCCTCATGGCTTTGTGAGGAAACTGCTGTGCTGCAGCAAACCACCTGCAGTTTTATTAAGAAAATGAATAAAAAATATCAGATAATGCTAAGGCATTTTTGAACATGCAGGAATTAGCAGGTTTTTCATGAACTCCCTGAGCTTCTGAGAGGACTAGTTTGCATCTCCTCATGGACTAGTGGTTGGTGCTGGTAGTAGCTGCTGTATCTGCAAGTTAGTAGCCACGATAGCCCTGCTGCCATGGGGCAGTCCGTGAGGATGACCAGGATCTTCATAGTCC